GGGCAACCAAAGGGAGGAACGAGGCACACACACACACACAATCCCCAACCACTCAAAAAGATTGGGCCCAGACGCTTTGGCGGTGGCGGTGGCGGTGGTGGTGGTGGTGGTGGTGGTGGTGGCGGGGGTGGTGGTGGTGGTGGTGGTGGTGGTGGTGGTAGTGTTCTTGGTTACCAAGGGCTATTTGCAACTAAGTGGCATTGGATGTATGGCGCTTTTCGTACGATGTGCGGCTGCAGTGACGGGTATGTTTACGACGGCTCCTCCGAACACGTTGCAAGGAGCCGGGGAGCCGAAACACGTTGATTCGGCTGCAACCGAGGACGGGTTTTCCGGCCCGGCAATTAGTGATACGATTTTGGCTGTGGTAGAAACCATGTCGTCGTGCTAAAAGGGTCCCGATGATCGTTCGGCTTTTAAGGAGGAGGACGATCCCCAGAGACAGATGTAGAGCATATCCTTTTCGCAACTGCATCTACGGTAACAGTGTCTGTGGTGTTGACGTGGCGCCACTGCCTTTTCAAGCAGCCTCCTTTGGTCCCAGCCGCAGTCAGGAGCGAGTCGCCAAAGGCTGGCCGAGCGCAAGGCAGGGCACCGAGGGCGATGCGCCCTATCGAGGAAAGCGTGGGCAAGATGGTAAAGCGGGCGCACATAAACGGGTCATGCCACATCCAAAATGAGAAGCCTGCAGGCCGCGATGGCTCTGAAACCGACCGGACCGGCAAATGTGCGGTCAGACAAAACGCAGATCAGTCCAGGCACCATAGTCGCGGATGGTGCGTTGTCGCAAATGGTTCGCATGATACACGTACTTCATCCATGCGAGCAGCAGTTCATAGCAGTTCCACACGTAGTTTCCCTCTATGTGCTACTGGTAGTAACATTTTGTAGATGCAATTGGCTTGAAATTGCAGTTATACTGTAGCCGTAGTAGATGTTGTGGCGCGGCTAGTTGAGGAGGCGTACCTTCAGCGGTTGATCCGTGTCTTCCCCTCGCCGGCTCATCCCAGCTCGTAGACTTCCAGTAGTTCAACAATATGTTTGATGACTGCAAGTGCTTTCAAGAGAGAGCTGTTGTTTGGGCATGCTAGTGAGGCCAAGAATTTCAGTCAACATGTGTATTCTGTACGCAGAGCCCTCGTCGCCGTTCTTGCTTTGACCACTATACTCTCGAAGCTTCTCTGGTGGCCATGGGACAAGCTGTAGGGTGTTCACTCGACGACCTTCCGTGCTGCACCAAGAACACGAGCACCTGGTCTGCAGAAAGATCTGCTGCTTGGACACAGTTCATGTCAGAACGGCAACCGCTCTATCGAGTAGAAAAATCTGCATCCCACAGCAAGACCAGTCGTTTAATGGTGAGAGCCCTAGCGAGCTGCTTCGCAACGCTTTCTGTCTCAATGCCTTCCCTTTGCAGATACTCCATGATTCCATGATGCGCCTTCAGGCACGGAGCTTGTCATTTCTTGCTGCCGCTGTCCAGTCAGGTACCACCGGAGACATCGCCATGAACTTAGTCATTGCGGGGCCAGGTTCATGTTGGTTACCAGGTTCGCATGTTCTTTCATATGCACTTTTGAAAATCGTGCTGCCGCATGACCATGATCATTATTGCGATTCCGATGATGATTGTGGTGATGATGACCGTTCTGCTATAGCCGCTACTGCTGCTGAAGCTGCCGCTTTTGCTGACGGTGAGGGGGAAGAGGGCGACTGCCCCTATGTGTTCTGAAAAGGAACCGGAAGGCCCCAAATGGAACCCTTATTGTATTGTATCGTATCACATCATACTATATATTATTATACTATGTTATATCAAACTATACGATGTCATATTGTACTATATTATGTCTAGTATAGGATAGTATGGTATATCTACTCATCCTCCGCGAAACCAAGGTCAAGGCTCGTCCTGTCGGCTACGAGTCCCAGGATGACCTCGCCAAAGGAGGGGGTACCAGGGTTTTTTTTGTGTCAACGGCCCTTCAAAGCCACGGAAACCCTTGGGTTTAGGGTGTAGGGTTAGGAGAAAAAAAGCGACCCTGAACTCCACCGAAACCGCTTCATGCGGCCAACGATCATGAAGCATTTGGTGAATACATGTGCTACAGAAACATGCAAAGTTTGCCTGGGTTTTTCGAGTAGCTGTGAAAACTAGCCTCACAGGGATGTTTAGGGGATGGGGAATCATGCCGCAGGCTGCTCCAAAAAGTGCCATCATAACCCCAACACCAAAAGCATCCACCACAAAAACACCAACTCTGAACACCCAAAAAATGCTAACAACATCTCAACACCAAGACAACACCAAATCGGAACCCCAAAAAAACGCCACTGGAAATGCATCAGGAATGCCAAATTGATTGTTCTGCTGATTTCGAATGCGTGGCTGCCCGAGACTATGAGGTTAGCGTAAGGTCGGCAAACTTGGCAGGAGAGGTGCCTGTGTGGTCTGGCGCCCTGAAGGCGGGCTTCGGATGCGGGCAACTTCTCCCAAGCTTCAGATTTGGAGCTTGTGGTTTATATGGTAATGCTTCCCATTTGGTGGGGGAGATAGACTGGGACATGTCGGGTTGTCAAGCTTCTCTCCCGTCGTGAGCAGGAAGCGACCGCGGAGGACAGCAAGACACGTGCTGAAGTATGCCCACAGTTCCATGAGAGAGCGGCATACTCAAGGCTCCTTGGGCTGTGCCATTCTCGCATGTTCATAGCTCCCCCGGAGATCCTCCATGCCCTGCTGATGTCATTTTCAAGGTTGGTGTTTATGGCAGCGCGTAGTATCGGGAGCATGAAGTAGCAGCATCTGCCCATTCCCGGTTGCAAACGCCGTAGGAATACTTTTACGGGCCAAGAACGGAGATGGAACCCTACGCAGTGCAATTTCTCCTTCTCGACAAGCCAGCCGAGCCGCTGCTACAGAGCTATGGCGCTCGACAGCCCGGTCATCGCCAAAGTGCTTGCACGGTGCCTGGGAGGTGAAGAAGTCATGTCCTACATGGAGTAGTAGTGGTAGTACGCAGCGGCAGCCGCAAATGAGCATACTTTGTGGGCTTCTTGCTAACCCTCCTCATGTTCGGTTCACCATCGTTGTTTCCGTTGTCGCACATGTCCCCATCCTCATCACCGATGTCATCACGAGCATCACTCTTGCGGCACTCGGCGTCCTCGCCAATCTCATCAGCTTCAGAGAAGCAAAAGCATGAAGCAGCCTTCACTGCCGCGTCGCGATCCTTATCATCGCAGACATAGTGCAGCAGTATGTGTGGCGCATTCCCAGGTACCCGGACGTTGTTCCCAGCAGCTTAAACTTCCCAGCTGATGCTGTCGACTGGACTGAGAAGGACGTGGACCTCTTTGTAGGTGTCGGCCTTGGCTTCTCCTTGATATCTTTGACCAGAGATGGGCCAAACACGTTTGGAGTTTAAACGTTTAGACATTCCGGGCGTTTAAACAGTTTACACATTGCGCGGGGTTCGGTATGTTTGAACCTGTTTAAGCGTGTCGGGGTTGCACGTTTAAACATGTTTAAACATTTCGGGGGTGTCGAGTGAGTGTTTGAACATGTGTCTGCGTGGCCCAGTAGTTCTAGGCGTGTAAACGGTCTACGCGGCTTAAACGGTTTAAACGTTTAAACGGCTTAAACTCTGGAGCAGCACTTAGGTTTAAATGTTTAAACGGTTTAAACGTTGGAGCAGCAGTTCTGAAGGTATGAGAAGCAGGACGTTTGAGCCGTTTAAACGTTCAAACGGTTTAGACGTTGGAGCAGCACTTAGATATGAGAGCCAGGACGTTTCAGGCATTTAAACGTTTAAACGGTTTAAACGTTTCAACGGTTTAAACGTTTCAACGTTTTAAACTTTGGAGCAGCACTTCTGAAGGTAAGAGAAGAAGGACGTTTGAGGCTGGCTTGGCAGCACTTCTGAAGGCATGAGAAGCAGGACGTTTGACGCGTTTCAATGGTTTTAAACGTTTAAACTGTTTAAACGTTTAAACGGTTTAAACGTTGGAGCAGCACTTCTGAAGGCATGAGAAGCGGGACGTTTGAGGCGTTTCAATGGTCTTAAGCGTTTAAACGGTTTGAACATTTAGACGGTTTAAACGTTGGAGCAGCAGTTCTGAAGGTAAAGTGAGTGTATGGCACAGTTCAGAGTAGAGATGTTATGTTGAAACATGTGTGTGTGTGTGTTTGTGTTTGAACATTTGTTTGTTTTAACAGTTTGCCCTTTAAGCAGCGTTTAGAAGTTTGACGTTTAAACAGCGTTTAGACAGTTTAAACAACTTCTGCTGCGGAGCCCGTTTGTTTAAACATCCCGGCGTTTAAACAGTAAATGTTTAAACAGTTTAAACATAACCCCCTGCCCAACCCTGTCTTTGACAGATCATACATATTATATTCAGATTCATGTATCCGTTCTCCCAGTCTCCCACACACAGATACCCTAAGCCCTAAACCCCAAACCCTACATGGAGGGAGAGCGTAAACCCTACATGGAGTACCAATGGAAAAATGTAGTCAAAAAGCAGCTGGGCGCTTATGGCCGGCCGCCTGGGCCTGGCAGAGCTGGGACCAGGGACGCAGGAAAACCTTGAGGTCGTATAGGATAGTATAGTATAGTACAGTATAGGATAGTGTAGTATAGTATGGCATAGTATAGTATAGTATGTGTGAGTGTGCTGCAGAGAGTCCTTGCAGTCGGCAGGCTGTTCTCAACACAACAACTTGCACGAGGATCGCAGCCTTGACGCACCCTTCCAGGATTCCAAACAAAGATGTCATGGGCCGCAAGTGACAGCTGTGGCCGGCACACCTGATCTCTGTCGCAGTTGCTTTTTCGCAACATCCCAACAGGATTCTCACTGACAAGTCGCAAAACAGCTTGAGAGAGCTTCTTGAAGGCAGACTGGGCTCTTGCAGAGAGCACAGAATGGGGAAGCGACGCGCATGGTGCAAGCAGCAGATTCAGCATGACGAAATCACGACAAAGACAGATGGCTGTTGTTGTTCCTGTCTTCTTGGTCGCGTTCGGTCCGTAAGGATGTCTTGGGCGTGGCCACTTGACTTTTTTTGCTTTGGCAGTGCTTGTATTGGTTGCATTCTATGACCTCCGCGCGCCTACACACTACTAGAGCATGCTGCGGGAGGCAACAAAAATCGCACCATCCGTCGCACGACCTCACGTGGCCATCAACACTTGCTCTACTGCATGGCATCTTCATGTCCACAGGGACGATCTGTTGGGCTCGTTCAACTGAGGAAGCGGTGGGTTCCTCAAGCCAAAGAAGAGTCCTGGCTGCATGGAGCTGGCCATAGGCCGGCCTGAGCCCAGTGTGGTTTCACTGCCAGGAAGAAGGCGCCATCCGGTGAGCCCTATGCAGCGTCCAGCGCGGGCGCTGGGCCGCCATCTGCACCAGCTGCGCCACCAGCCACGCCGGTGCCCGCCAAGCCTGCACGACAAGCAGGTGAAACAGAAGCTGCACGAGGCGCTTGCGCATCAAATTTTCGCGACACATACACGTGCATCGTAGAAACGTGCTTGAGCGGAGGCAGCGAAGCTCCCTCTGCGGCAGAGGAGGTAGCTCGACGACGTTGTCTGTTATGGTTTCAAACTATCTATAATATGCTTCAGAGAGGCTTCTCATACGGAGCATGTATACGGTAGGCTCACAGAGTGAAGCAATGAGCACGAGCCCTGAGCATGAATGTCAAGCTTTGCTTCCACTGTGTTTCAGTTTCAACCAACGCCTAGGCATCCCTCGTCCCTGGCCCGGGCGTCCTTCCTGCGCCTGGCTCCGCACTTGCGTGTTTTTTTGTTCTCCAGAGACCGGTCCGAAGACTCGCCGGCCCTTGCAATCACCATCCCTGCATGTCTGTGCACACCCCTCCAGTTTGGGATTGTTCTTGGCCGGGGTACATGCTTCAGAATGCATATTGAAGAAGGACCGCATGGATTTGTCCTAGCCCGCTGTGGATGTTCGGCTTCAGGGCACCCGTGCCTGCAGGATTTTGGGAGGGGACGCAGCTGGGATCTTCCTTGGTAGGCAAGGGGGTCTGCAAGTCCAGCTGCAGGAGCTGCCGCTTACCCAGTGGCACAGAGGTGAGTATTGGGCGCCGTATGCCACCTACATGGAGGATATTGCTCGTGGAGCTAGGCAGCAGCATATCGGTAGCATCTCACGCCGCCCTGCCATGCTTAGAGGGTGGCCAAGCGTAAGATCTTCTCTCAGCTTAAAGCCAGCGTGCTGTGCCCTGTTGTTTCGCAGGATGTCGGTGAGAAGGGTCTGAAGCTGGTCTCAGCGCTGAACAAGTGCGAGCGCTTCCGGAACGTTGGGTTGAAGAAGGGCGCCCCTCGCTCGAATCCTCTTCTCCCAGCCGTTCCGAGAAGTTTGGCCAAGCTTCACGGACCTGAGGCCGGTTTTACACTGGGCGCCTTGAAGGAGATGGAGCGAGGGTGCTTCTGCATGCTCCGACCGTTCCTTCATCGCTGGGAGGAGAACTTCGGTGCTGGCATCCTTTTGCGGGAGTTCGCTTTGGAGATGACATCTCAGCCTCCGAGCCATGGCTTCCAATATCTCGCAAGTCTGTCATGCCTTATAATAAGTTACTCAGACTGTATCATTTGCAAGTGCATCCGAGGAGCGACATCATGTCCTTGCTCTGGGTGTCACTGCGCTTGGAGCTTCCATGCTCGCCCTTCATGCCCATGAAGCTCGGTTCAGGATTGTGAGAGCCTTGCAGGCCGATTCCCACTAGTGCCTATAGCAGGGGCTTCGAGAAGCAGCGGGGTCTTAACACACTCTCACTTGAGCCGTTTTCATTTGAGAGTTGTTGAGCTTCTGCCCGGCCTGCCATGAAGGTATCAAACTTTGATCCCGGACGGTGGCAACAAGCCAGTCTGCAAGGGCATCTTTGGCATGCTGATGCTGAACACAGCAACGATGAGTTTCCCGGCAGCCGTGTCAGTAGCGTTCCCGGGTTTAGGATGAGTGTTAACCCGTGTATGCAGCATGACTAGTGTATGCAGTATGGCCTTATCGTTGCATGAGCCTCAGGTGTGCTGGAAGACAACCGCATCTACGAAAAGGCTTGCCGGTGCTGAAATTCAGCCACGGAGAGTATGTATAATATATAGTATGACTAGTATGTGTATATGTATGTGTATATATAGACATGTAGATGTAGATATGTAATCAGATTAGCGAATCGTGCGCACAGGGGTGAACTGAACCCCCTCAGCTGCAGAAAGAAACAGACAGACATTCGCCCGCACGCGCTCACATATGCAAATTCAATCACCTATAAATACACAAGACACTGATGCAGACATGCATGCGTGCATCCACCCATTTCTTCAAGGCGTATACACATGCATGTACACTGATGTGTTACATATAGGACTTCTTCTATGCTGCATTAGCAGCATTGCATGCAGGTAGCAGAGCCTCTTCGCAAAGCCTTCGACCTGCGAAGGCCCCGTTGAGTGTGGCAAGATGTCCTGTCTGTTGCATCTTCCGTGTGCATGTTGCATCTGGAGCCTATGCAAGAAATTTGTTGCATGGAGGCTGCTGCATGCTGCGATTTCCGTTGGCATGACCATGTTGAGTGTTGTCTTCTCCTCGCTTGCGCCCACGTCGCAGCCAAATGCCGAACGCTTCATGCGCAGACCATCAAGAAAAAGCGCACCACAGCAGTAAAGCGACCCAGCCAAAAGAAAGATGTGCCAAGCCGTCCATCTCATCTCATCTTTGCACTCGCATGACATGGCGCTGGCGGAAGCCGAGGCCTTGAGCAAAGATGGCAGGCCTCCTAACAAACCTCTGCTGCGGCGGTGGGCGGATCAAGGAGCCCTACGAGAAACCCTTGAAGCGCCTCCTGTCGGCGTCGGTTCTGGACCTCTCTGCAGTCGAGGCCTTTGCACTCGAGGCGCAATCGGATGGCCCAGGAGCGACCGTGGCTTTGCGATGGTTCTGGAATGAAGTCGACAGGCTGGAGCCTCTCAGCCATTCCTTTCGCAATGGCTTGGAGGCCTTTGACCTTTGCAGTGCGGCTCTGCTCGCAGCCCACGCGGCTTCCAGGAGCCAAGTGCCGATCGCGGAAGCCGAGGCCTTGGCCAAGGCCCTGCTGGTAAAGGCGGAGGCACTGGCCAAGAGTGCGATCTCCCAGAGGACCGCGAGAGTGTTAGCTTGTCAAGGGGCTCGACTCAGAATCCAGGGCCTTCCGTCATGTGCGTCATAACCTGTAAATACCACTAGACTAGGACCTGTGGGATTTGAGAGGACCGAGTACCTCCAGAAGGTCTTAAGCCAGTCCCTGGCCATTTGGGGCGATCTCGTGCCGGAGAACAGCAAGCGTGCCAAGGGCCTCAAACCTCGGATCCTGGTGCACGTGAGGGCGCGAGGCCTGGAGATGGGAGCTCCGGAGATGGACCTGAAGCCTGGAGATCTCCTGGAGCCGAAGATGCCATCGGCCGAGTGGCGAGAGATTTGGCAGCAGCGTGGCGACAAGCAAAATCGGGCGATGGCCTTGAGGGGCTTCTTTGCCGATGGCCAGCTGGATGATGTTTGCCTCCTGGCCTTTCGGGAGGGCGGCTTCGACTTTGACGCCTTTCTCGAGGTACTCGTGGAGACTCTTGGCTATGACTTCGTGAAAATGGGCCAGGCTGTTCTCTCCGTGGTAGAGACGTCCGTCCGTCGCTTGGGGAAGCTGGGCAAGGGACCGCCTCACAAGCTGCCTCAGAACATGCTCCGTACCCTCACAGAGGAGATGGTGCGAGGTTCTCTTGAGGCCTTGAGGGACCAGCAGTTTAAACTGCTTGGGGCATCTTCTGCCATTTTGCAGCTCGTTTCCTTCCTCGCAGCTGCTGGGAAAGTGCCAGCTGATGACAGCGACAGTGACGACTCTAGGTCGCCCCAGCGTCCACCAAAGCCAGCAGTGCAGTCTGACACGCTGACCGCGTTGGAAGGCTATGCTTGGGAGATGGTGTTAGCCGCCATCTTCGGGGCAATCCCAGCTACGCCCGCGAAGACTCGGGCTGCTCATGCTGGGTATATCTTTGAGGTCTTGAGACCAGCTTTGGGTGCCATCTCAGATCTATCTCTCAGTTCCCAGTTAATGAATCACGATCAGTTGAGCATCCTTGCAACTTGTGGGAGGAGCCACACTGATCAAGCCCGGGAGTGCTTGAGGGAGTTCGCGAACAGGCTTGATGAGGCAGCACAGCAGATATTGAGGCTCCGGCACTACGGCTTCGCACTTCGCCAGGCAGCAAGGGACTTTCAGCTCTTGGGCGTGGAAGCACCGGACCTAGGTCGAACCTGCACCGACCTGGAAGTCAGGAGCCAAAGCCAAGCAGCCTCGGGGCCTGCCGGAGCGGCAGACGGGGACAGGGACGAAGGTCCTGAGATCGAGAATCCTGATGCCGGAGCCAGAGCAGAGGCTGCGGCCCCGCAGATTGATGCTGCCGACGAGGCCAAGCTGAGAGCCATTTTCAAGACGTGTGATACAAACGGTGATGGAACGATCAACAAGCGTGAGTTGATCAAAATGTGTCGACAAAGCTTCGAGACGGCAATGTTCTTCGGCCTGCCAAGTGTTATCAAACAGGAAGACGGTTCACGTGCAAAGCTGGAGGAGAGGTTCCAACGAATGGATCAGAACGACGACCGCGAGGTCACCTGGGAAGAGTTCCACCATTGGTACATGTCGGAAATGGCCGCAGCGCCGAAGCCCTCTGCTGCGCCGACGGCGCGTTCAAGCGCCGACAGTGCGGAGATGGCTCCAAGGGCCTCACTCTCACTTACAGAAGAGCTCGACTCTGAAACGGAGCTGAGCCCTCGGCCTGAACCGAGAGCAGGAGCTAAGCCAGCCATTGCCTCTGGCGTTGTCAAGGCCCTCACCGACATGGTTGAGGCATCCGAGGTCTCAGAGACGGGGCTCCAGGTCGAGGAGCAACCTGTGTCGCAGGAGAGCTTTGCAAAGTGTCCATCCACGTGCAGTCTTGATTCTGGAACATAAGTGGGCCCTGTTTGCCATGACCGTTCCCTTATATTGTCTCCTCCACCACTAGGCAGGTTGTTGCTGTTGTTTTCTCTCATCGGGTTCTATCGTCTCTTCTTCAATGCTATATCGCCTCGGCACACAGCTTCGCAGGAGCGGGTGGAGAATGCAATGCGCTTCCTAGATTTCGTCTACGAGCAGGTTGCTGCAAACACGCACGACGGACAGGTGTGGTTGGTTCAGGGTTCTCGCTTAACAGCTTTGAGGTATGACTACATGGCATCAGTTTTTTCAAAACGTCATCAGCCCTCAGGTGACCCGGAGGGACCTTGAAGACCTGATCCTGGCGTCAGACAGCTACGGCCAGTGCTTCGAATGCTTGGGGACAGTGCCCGGCAATGACCTCACAACATCTGATATTGACATCGGCACGGTAGAGTTCACTGATCACTTCTTGGATGAGGTAGCTTGCGAACATTTGGAGGGCCTCCGTTTGCTGACAGTACCGCCAGAGCCATGGAATCCTGTACCAGCACGGCGACTGGAGGTTGCAGCTTCCATGGCTTTGGAACCTCCGGAGGCTTCTGCAAAAGACACTCCGGTACTGGCCATCACTGATCCAACACCAGAGCCTGCAGAATACGCTTTGGCTTTAGCTTTTTCGACAGGCTTGAAGCCCACGCAGCAGGAAGCAGTGGATGACCAGCTGGAAGAGCAATGTGAGCAAACGCAGGTCTCAACAGCGCTGGCAGTGCTTGACGAACCGGTATCAAGTACTCTGCCCGCCCAAGAGGAGGTCGTCTCAGAGATGGCGCCAGCTCAGCCAGTTCTGCCAATCACGGAGGTGCAAGTTCCGGTGCAGGCTGTTCCTGACAACTGGTTCGCTGATGCAGTGAGCCCAGTTGCAGAGCGGCCAGCGCTGCCGCCGGTGCCGATGCGGGAGCTGGAAGATGCATCTGGGGGCCTCCCTACGATTCCGTCCGGACGCGGAGTGGGGCTTCCAGACAGTTCCGACCTCGCCCTTCCGGATCCGACTCCTAAGCTGGACTTGGGAAGTTCTCTCCTTTCCACCGCAGCAGACACTTGGGCCCCGACCTTGGAGGAGTCTCAGAGCTTGAGCATGGCGAAGACCACGGAATCGGCCTCGGGTCAGAGACCAGTCCAAGCCTTTGCGTCAGCGCAGAGCGCGACTTTCTTTGGTCAGGTCCCAACGGAGACTTTCCAAATGCAAACCGTGGAAGTCCAGGCCCAGCCCGCCCCTTCCGCGCAGATCGGACTTGCGAAGAGCTCAGTGCTGCAGCTGACGGAAGCTCCGAATTCCCAGAGGTCCCTGCGCTTCGAGGAGGCTCAGGAAGCCCAGCAGTCGCCGAGTTCGCAGAACGCAAGAAGGCAGGGATCCGATGACGAGAGACCTTCTACATGGAGAACAGATCCGACCCGCAGCTCCGATGCTTCGTGCCCGCAGTCCCAAGAGCCCAGCAACACGCGTGCTCCCACAGGGGCGGGGGCGGTCCCACCCCTTCCTCTGGGATGTCTCAACGGGGAGTCCGCTCGCCCGTCTCAAGAGCCTTTTCGCATGGACATGGGTCAGGCAGCTTACAGTGCCAACCAGGCATCGGGCCAATTTGCTTCCTTTGAGGAGCACATGCGGACATCTGCAGGGCCTTTCCCAAGGTGGGGCCCGGAAAGCTACCGCATGGGTCAGATTCAGCGAGACGACTTCGCTTACGAAAGCAGCCTTCCCGGGTTTCCTTTTCCTTATGATGATAGCTTGCCAGATGCATTGCAAGAGCAGATACAAGCTTTCTATCACGAGCTTCAGGAAACCAAGGCGCGTCAGAGGCGTGCAGAACGCGACAATGACGAGCTGGTCGGCTACTTGGCTGCTCTCTTGGGCGAGCCGGACCATGCAAACACGCGTTCGGATGCACGGACACCTCTAGGATCCAACCGGGCGGAGGACGTTGTCAGGCAAACTTTGCCAATGCCGCCAGCACCAGCTGAGTTGCAGACGGTAGAGCAGCCGCCGCCGCCACCACCGCCGCCTTCACAGCCGTTTCAGGATTTGCTGTCAAAGCCAATGGTCAACATCTCATTCGGTGCCGGTCCTTCGCAGGCAGTGGAGTCCAGACCTCAGCGAACCTCGGAGCACGTCCTGACAGAGTCGGTAGCATCCATATTGCCTCTGGCCTTTCGGAACTTGCTTGAGCGTCCGCAGCTTGACAGGGGCGAGCAGCTCCAGCAGCAGATGCTGCAGCAGATGCAGCAGCAACAGCAGCAGATGCAGCAGCTGCAACAGCAACAGCTCCAGTTACAGATGCACTTGAGCCAAGCACAGGCTAAGAATTCGACCCAGCGACCCACATCCCAGCCATCACAGCGATCCATACTGGATCAGCTTCGAGCCGAGCTGGCCGCCGAAAAACGCCAGGCTGCTCCGGCCCCCATCTCACCCGAAGTGACAGCTCTCCAGGATATGCTCAAAGAGCTGCGCGATGCTGGCCAAGCCACCATCGGTCAACTCCTGGATGCGCTTCAGGATGTACGGACTACGCAACAGAGGCTGGAACGACAGGCATTAATTCCAGCTTTGCCAGCTCCAGCCTACATCGGCGAGGACTCGATGCAGTCGCACGGTCTCCACTCATCCATGTCTCAGCCAGTGATCCCCAAGAGCTATCAAAGCTACCGGGACACCTCCGTTGTCTCTCAGCCTCGAATGAAGGCTTTCGAGACCGATATCCCGCGGAGCCCGGTGAAAGGTCTTTTCGTACCCCGGTCAGAGGATGGTCGCCGAGCCTGGGCCCCAGCCCCGGCTCGACCCTTGATCCCAAGACGAAGGCCTCAGGGGCAGCCCTCACAGTGCTCCCAGGCACGGGGGCCCCAGAGGGCGCTCTTTGACCAGGAGATGGCACGCTGGGACGCGAGGGCACAGCAGCTGGAGGCACAGTTCCGACGCTTGCACGGCCCTGCAGCCCAGTGACGCGAAGCCGTGAGCAGTTTCAATTTGTCAATGATGCTACCGAGCCCTTTGTAGCCTTTGCATGCAGAAAGGGTGTGCCTTGCTGGGCTTTTGGTATTCTGTCTAAGTGTACGAAAGGACGTGCGAAGTTAAGAGGCTCCATGTGCCGGGCCGCGAGGCACGTGAGGCTTAGCAAGGAGGCAATTTGTAACGCTGGGGCTCGAACATCCGCCAGTCAGAGATGTGCCTAATTTTTATATCTGTGGTTGCTATTGATGCTTGCTCCTTTCGCCCGCCCCCGACCTCTGCCTGAGTCAGTGAGCTCCAGGCCTACGGGCGCGGAAGGGGTGCCCAAGTTCCCCAGAAGCCTGGCAGCTCTTGCATATGGCAGCAGATATGATTTAGCGATGCTGTGGCATGCCGGGGTTGAGCCGGGCTTCATTGCGACTGTTGCAGTTGAGTTGCCGCGGTCGCGACTTGAACTTCACTCTGTTGCCAGTTGTCGGACCACGTGTAAGATTCTATATCTGTTATGTATGTTTGACATGGCTGTCGGAAGCGGTTGCTTCATTGAAACTAGTTACAAGTTACAAGTTATGCGTTGCAAAGAACGTAGGCTTGAGGCTGCGCATTGAAATCGTTTAGTGGGTGGTGCCTGCAATTGTCCGAATATGATTGCCAGACCCAGGAATTTATCCTCAAAGGGGCTCTCCGTTCCGACCGGTGCAGCTTGGCTTGGGCAATTCACGTGGCTGCGTGCGAGGTGCACGCGCGATCAGGAGCAGCAATTAATTGCAACGTAAGCTTTCGTAGCAGTCCCCTGTTGCAGACGGGTCGCGAGCAGTGCGGTATCGGACAACTAGTTAAGTTGGTTGGTTCAAGACAGCGCTTCTGCAGGCAGCTCCTGATGACATCCTGCACGATAATGCCCAGCGACTGTGAAGCGCGGCAATACAATCTTGTTGAACGCCGCATGAAGTTTATCGGCAAGCTTGTGAACGTGATGGTGTGACTGTGACATTACCTGGGCAACCAATCTCAGGACATGTATCGTGTGATTTTCCATCCCCAAATGGTCAGCGTTTGCGAGAAAGTGAACTTTGCTGTCGTGTTCTCAGGCATGCTTCCACACAGGTGCTGCTCGATCGCTTGAAGCTTACTAATCGTGTTGACAAGGTTTCTGCGACCTTCTGCGATTCGCCGGCAGTTGCTATCTACGCGAACCTAGCCAAGCCTGCAGGCCGGAAATTGGAAAGTCGACCGGCTGTGGTCAGTAGCTAGTTGCATGTTTCTGCAGGAATCGGAGACCGCTTCAATGTTCGGGTTTTCGTGGAGCCGACGGACGCGTCTGCACAGTTTCGAGTCCTCTACCTCTTTACTGCCGCGGCCTGGCTACAATTGTCGTTTTGAATACTGGCACTGTTCAGTGCTACGACTTTTAAAAGGTTAAAGGTATGAGTACTACTACCACTACTACTACCACTACTACCGCTACTACTGCTGCTGCTACTTCTTCTGCTACTACCCTTGTACTCTTTGCACTCTGCAGTTGCGGCACTGTCCTTCTGCTTGCTGCGCTGGTGGCATACCTTGTCGTTGTTTCACTCTACCCCACTATTCCGGCTTCGAATGCAAGTCGCTAGCTGGTTACGTCGAGTGAAGAGTCCTATGGAAGTGCTGGTCTATTGTTATTGTTTATGTTGGATATTGTGAAATCTTCATACGCGGTTGGTTGAATCGTTTCGGAGAGAGCTTGGGTAGCTCGTGGCCAAAG